GTGTAATGACCCGAAGCGAAGCGAAGCGACATCTGAACCTCCAAAAGTGGTCCGAACCCCTAGTGTTTTGCACATTTTGACTTCGAAATGTGCTTCGCGCCACAACGGCGTGCACTTTTTCGAGATCTGAACCGCCAAAAGTGGCGCGAACATGTGGTGCTTTGTACATTTTGACTTCGAAATGTGCTTCGCGCCACAACGGCGTGCACTTTTTCGACATCTCAACTTCCAAAAGTGGTCCGAGAATAGTGTGCTTTGTACATTTTGACTTCAAAATGTGCTTCGCGCCAGAACGGCGTGCACTTTTTCGACATCTCAACTTCCAAAAGTCGTCCGGACCTGGTGTGTTTTGTACATTTTGACTTGGAAATGTGCTTCGCGCCACAACGGCGTGCACTTTTTCAACATCTCAACTTCCAAAAGTCGTCCGGACCTGGTGTGTTTTGTACATTTTGACTTGGAAATGTGCTTCGCGCCACAACGGCGTGCACTTTTTCGACATCTCAACTTCCAAAAGTCGTCCGGACCTGGTGTGCTTTGTACATTTTGACTTGGAAATGTGCTTCGCGCCACAACGGCGTGCACTTTCTCAACATCTCAACTTCCAAAAGTGGTCCGAGAATGGTGTGCTTTGTACATTTTGACTTCAAAATGTGCTTCGCGCCACAACGGCGTGCACTTTTTCAACATCTCAACTTCCAAAAGTGGTCCGAACCCCTCAGTTTTTAACACATTTTACTTCCAAATGTGCTTCACGCCACAACGGCGTGCAATCTCTCATCTCCCCAGATGTCTCCGCACCCGCCGCTTTAGCGAGCCTACTTTTCAACCCTCCGGAGCCACAAAACCACGAAAAAACACAGTGTTTCGCGACTTTCCTACCTTTTCGCGCACCTGCATCTTCTTTCTTCTGATCTTTTCTCTTCTGACTCTTCTCCCTGCTGACTGCTTTTTCATCTCTCCATATTGTCGGAAGTTTGACTTCCAAACTTCCTTCGATAATAGAAAATCGTATCTAAATGGATGATTTCGAAGTACCCCCATTTTGGGAAACCTCCATATGTAAAGCCCATGTTCCGTGTTTTTTTGACAAAAAGTGGTGCGAGGGATGATATGGAATCACCACATACTCCTGTGATGGGCACTATGAAGGTCATAACTTGGGGGTCCCAAGTATTAGAAAGGGATACACCCATAACTGGGAAAAATTCCAGTCTATAAACTGTGATGATTGTGATGGGAGGACAAAAGTCAAGAACAAGAATAGGATACAAAAAAAAAAGATATGCAGACAGACAGGCAGACAGATGGATGGATGGATGGATAGATGGATCGATGGATGGATGGATGGATAGATAGATAGATAGATGGACAGATAGACAGATAGATAGACAAATACATAGATAGGTAGGTAGATAGATAGATAGATAGAGAGAGATAGGTAGATAGGATGGTAGGTAGGTTGGTAGGTTGTAGATACGTCGGTAGGTAGATACACAGATGATATAAATGTAGTTATATAATATATATATATGTTTCATCTTCGAATGAATACTGCTCAGGAAAACTGCTGACTGCATCACACTATTTTGATCCATCAAGCCCTACAAGTTTGTAATGTCATCGCTGCATGGCTGCAGCAGCACCAGTCCAGCTCGGAGGCACAAGCATAGCTAGTTCCAATGCTTCACATGCTGCAGCTATGGAGGATAAGGCACCAAGCAGCTATTCCACACTTGCAAAAAGCCAGTCCAGGTGTAAGAAAGGACGCGCTCCACCCATTCAGCAGAGCCGAGAGATAGCGTAGAAATCCTGAGGATCAAAGCGCAGCAGCTGGGAGATACGTAAACATTTCAGAAACAAGCATAATATCTTTCCTCACATTGAAGGGAAAGCCAGCAAAACAATTGAGAGCAGCGGCTTCTTGAAGATATGATTCCAGGGTTGTCTGCGATCTGAGTCTCAAAGACCACATGATATCTTGCACAAGTCTACCAACTCTGTATGCCCAAACACCGAATCCTCCTCTCAAACCCCCCGGAGTCAGTCTGACGGATGAAGGGAGATCTAAGCACCTAAGGATGATATCCCAACGCTTACGATATTGACACGGGGAGGAAGCAAACAATAGGGCATCTGCTGGCAATTTTCGCATGAGCAGGTGAAGAAATCGTGCATGCCGTGACGTCAACTACACGTAGATGCTGCACCCGGGCCAGCTGCTGAGTTCGGCTCTTGAACTTGGTAGGACCAGGCTCAATGAAGTCAATAGGAAGCAGCAAATCTTCACGTTTGCACTGCAAGATCTCACCTGGCCTACCACCACCATAGAATGCAATCAATGTAGCGGCAACCCATGCATACCAGCCATGCAACCATGCAGTAACTACCATGATCCTAACTAAAGGTTCAGGAATGGAAATTCCGTGTGTGACGGGCTCTTGATGCTCCCATCTGTTGACCAGTTCCCATGCAGGCTGCATGAAAGGGCGACACAGTGGCTTCCATCGTTGAGCAGCAAGCAAAAGATGTCTATAGCCTATAGTTGCTCAATGCTTTTCGTGCCTGGAACATCAAATCGCCAAAAAATCTCAGCAAATAAACCAAAATAGTAGGGACAAGGTCAGAAAGTTCATCGCAGGAAACTCCAGAAATTTCACTTCGGCACCAACTCAAACAGGCATTGAGCACTCTGCTTTCCAAGGCTAAGGTCCCTGCTGACATGGTAGGCAGTTCCTGCAGAGACTGCCGAAGTGCAAACCTTCTAGCTGGTCCGGGATTGGTAGCTTCCCCTATACGCATGGCTTTGGAGCGGGCACAACCAGCAATGCTAAGGCGTGAACTGCTACACCAACCTGCTTTAATGGCTGTAGCCAGGGCTAACATCTTTGCAAACCTCTCGGGTAGGGCTCGGCTACAGCAGTTCAGCTTTTACCATGAAGAATGCTATATCCCCGCAAATGTTGATGGCCTCTGTTGCCGCACTAAAGCATGCGAAGACCTGCTAGGGCAGTGTTTGTGGCCACTCTGGTATCTTTGCGCCAGGAAAGCCTGAAAACGTCTAAGCTTGAAGGCAGCAGAAAATCTTGCCATCCCCTCTGCAGCCAAATGAAAGACTTGTCCGGGTTCTCGCACCAGAATGCCCACCTGTTGGCGATTGCAAGCATGATAAGGGACAAGCAAAACTGAGCATGAATGTTTCCCTCTTTCACCTTCTGCTTCATGCTACCAGGCATATGGGGAACCCCTTTCGGCCAGCGGCGAGACCGCACTGGTGGGGTAATAGCTCTACTCACGGAGGCGCAAATAGGCGCCATGCCAAACGCAGAAAAAACTTCTTGCTCAGCAAAAGAAAACAATTCCTCTCTAAGCTCCTCGTTCAGCAAATCTTCCTCACATCCACGTTTCCAATCAAAAGTGAAGACCCACGGTGCTCCATGCTCAACAAGCTGCTTTGCCACCGCACAGTTTCCAGAATAAAGGTCCAGCACGCTCGGCACTTCGAAGCATGAGCAGGTGTCGTTGGAGAAGAATTGCTTGGCAGGAAAAGGCTTGAAAAGGCGGGAAAACATATTTTCTTCATGCAGAGGCCCTCTCTCAGGCGCAGGCTCTCGCTGATGAAGTTCTGGCGCTTTCCCCTCAAGCGGGGGCTGAGGCTGTACGCTGATTCCGTTTTGGAGGCTTGAACTTAACCCTACGGTTGGGAGAAAGATCAGCATGCACATTATGACCCAGCTCGCCAAATGGCAAAATCACAGTTCTGCAGAGATCCTATGCTATTCAACCACTCATCAAGACCAATGCAAAAATCATCGCAAGTGCCCCAAAACCATTCGGGAAGACGCATGTCGGGAGGCCTTGGATCAGCCGATCTGGTTGGCCCGTCAGCTCTGTTGAAACAGGACGGATAATACAAATAATGCCAAAAAATACCACCAGCTATAGGATACGGCAATGAACGTTTCAGCACCGCATTCAAGCACACAGAGGCCGACCGACCTTTGACCAAAGATCCAAGACAGACCTGCGAATCAAGCAAGCGCAAATGGAATGCGGCGGCGAGGTGACTGCACAGCACAGCGTTTCTCTTCTTTTACGTGAGCTTTGGCCTCGAGGACATTGATATGAAATCTCTTGCCCACGCTTTCACGCCAGAGTTAAGTGTAAGTGAGACCACGTGCACACAGCTCCCAAAGAGAATGCACTGCGCAGGGTTCTTCGACCTCTTCCGAATGGAGGCGTTTCCACTCCTGCACCGGACTGAGCAAAGCTGTCCAGCGCCCCTTGACCAGGGAAGTGCGCACAATTCTTGGGACAATTGCAGTGAAGCGTCGCTCGCTGTCAGAAAATCACTGAACGGAGCCCTCAAGTCAGTAGCTGCTAAGTGGGCAAGGGCCGCAGCAATTCATCGCTGAGTTCAGGAGGCAGCCGAATGATAGTGGACCGATCATCGACGCACAGCGCCCCGAAAATCACTTCCAATAGGCAAAACATCCTTCTCCTAGCAGGTATCAAAACAATCCATGACCCAGCCAAGCATTCTTAACTTAAGAGACCAGTGGTAGTGAGGCCCAAAGCAACTACTCACAACGTGATGAAAATGGTGGCCCACAACCGTGACGATGTGCCTCTCACCAATCCCTTGTTGCCATCGACATCAACACCCCAGAAAGTAGCAAGAGCCTGATTGCTAAAACTCTTCTTTGCATTAACCTCCAAACCACAAACAGAATAGCCGTGCTGTGCGCACCGCGCACGCACGGCCGTAGTTTCCAGCCGCCCAGCTCGGACGGCTTCCAAGTCAGCTCTAAGGCACTGCTCAAGGATCACCAAATGATCGATGATGATTCCAATCTGCAGAAGTCCTCTGGGAAGAGGGTCTTGAGGAGTGAGAAGCTCATGAGTGCTGCAAACACCATGCTGCAAGCAAATTGATAGATGGGAACCCTGGGCATACTCGCAGGCCAAAGTGTCGCCCATGGCTAAGTATACAAAGCCACCTAAACCAGCTCTTCGCTCCATTCAAAACTGCTGCCAAAGATTTCGCGAGCTTCATCCAGTGTCACTGGGTCAGACAAAATATTACGAATGGTGCGTTGCTCACCCGCTTTAAATTGATAAAAGAAGTCACGCAAATCTTCACCAGACGCTAGGAGGACGAGGACAGCAGGTGACGCCATAGATCGGCACCAAATAGACTGCTTTGGGTCCACCAAATTAGGGGGTCTACCATCTAAAACCATCCGATCAAACTCCAAATTTTTGTGTGCTGCAAATAAGCAAGAAACAAAGTCTCCCCGCTTGTTGCATAGCTTCACCGGCTTCAGCCGCTTAGTGTCGGCTAACTTCTTGTAAAGCAGCACCTTGTTTTCCCGAGTAGCAAAAACCCGGACCCTCGGGACCTCGCCTGCAAAAGACTGAAAATCATCGCAGCAATCCAGTGGCCTCTCATACAAGGCTCGGGTACCAGGATCCAGCAGAGGACCAAGGTCAAACTGTGGGGGTCCAGGAAAAACAAGACGTTCGGCAACCAGCGGCTTTGCATTCATCAACATTCTTTGCAAGCTTCCCAACTTTGCGCCCAATCTTTTTTGCAAAATGCTGCGCGCTACCGAAGGGAGGCCGAGTGAGCTGTGAGGAAAAATATTGGTTTTCGTACTCCCTCAAAAATCCACCTGCTCTCGATAAAGCGGCCAAAACTGCCTCCATACCTTCAACTTTGGCAGCGGCACGTCCCATGAAAGCAGCATCCACTGAAACCGGCGTATTACCATCGACACACAAATGCTCCATGTACTTTACAGCGGTCCATTGCCTCGCTTTGAGACGTGACCCAATGGCCAAACATCAAGGGGCGGCCGGTGGACACCCAAGCGCAGGCCAGCTCATGCACACCACTTGAATAGAGACAAGTCGCTTCAAATACAGCTTCTCCACCTTCAACAAACTAGAACTGCAAAACGCTTCAGGATAAGGAATGGGCATGGGCCAAACCGCGGAGCAAGAGGGCGATGAGGATGCTCTCTTCAAGCTCCTGGGCACATCAAGGATGGGTTGCACAAAACTCCGCAACTTGCCATTTGATTTCAGCAGCCAGCGGCCAGCGGGGCATTGAATTCATAAGCGCTGACACATACACTGTAGATGCCCCTGCTCCCGGAAGCTTGAACGTATCCCGCCGAAGATCAGCACCATGCAAATCATCAAAGAAAGTAGGGACATCACCACCAGCGGTAGAAGCTCCCCGGGCAAATTGTCAGGACATGCATTGGCGGGCACATTATCCCGCCCAGTCATGCAGCAGGCTCGGCCGCCCCCTTTGCCTTTGATCGGGCTTTGGGGCGCCGGCGAGGCGAACTGTCTGCGTCTCCTTCTTTGGGTAAGCTCGGCCCAAATTCTTCCTCTTGCTGGGGAACTGATCTCGTAGGTAGGAAAGAGACACTGCGGCCCACCGAGGATCCAGAATATGGGAGTATGGGCTTTCGCCTGAAGCCACACTCGGAAGTTTGTGCTGCTCGAGGAGTGACATCGGCGGCCCGGCCTCGAGGCCCAGCTCGCCGGCTAAAACTAAACCCAGCTGCCTTGATCTATTGAAGCCTGATCGAGTTGCATGAGCAGGATTGCCAAGCGGGCTCTGGCAGCTGCTGCTCCACCCAGGCCCGACACAAAAACGCTGGGGCATGAACTCCTGGAACTAGAGTTTGAAAGGAAATCTCCTCCCACATCAGCTTCTCTATCCAAGCATAGATCTCGCCCAGTTTCTCCACCAACATGGCACGCAACGCTCTCCGCGCTGCTGCTGACCTCTTGCCCGAGCCGATGCTTCCAGATTCCAAAGCGCATCCACCGCCAGCATACTCCAAGGCAGTCGTCCTACACGAGAGCAAACCTCGGCCAAGCCAGGCTCTTCTGCCTCCGCTTCCCCCTCTGCCAGCAACTCCTCCTGCGCAGAGAAGAAAGAAAAGTGTTCGTTTGCCGCATCTGCCAAAGCTCGTTCAAAAAGGAGCACGGGCCACGCACAGCCCCATCGAAAACATACTCCACTGCTAGGTCGTGCTGGCTGCTGAAGTCCGTCAGCTCCTGCAGATAGCGCCTCATGAAGCCTACCCATAGCCGGACCATCAAGTCCTCCACTTGCAAATCCCTCTCGTCTAGAGAGCATCCTGATTCCAGAGAAGTCATCTTCGTGAACCATCCTGTAGGAATAATTCGTTGATTCGATTTGCGATTCCATGCAGATCTGGGAACAGCCGCAAAGACCTTGTTGTCAAAGGCGGCAATGAAAATCACCTGAAATCTTAGCTGATGTGCCAAGGAATCCACTTGCAAAAATCCAAGGTAAGACAAATTCACTATGCTCTCCTCCACCACAAAACGGGAGGTACCTTCCGAATGCTCAGGTAACACCCACGCACTCATCCTTCAATGCTGGATGGCCACGCGAGCCCTGCCGCTCGCACTGCACACCTGCACTCACGCTCGCTGGGAAGTCCCACAAGAACTGATCGGCCTAGATGATCTCCTCTCTTGACCACTGGCTTGGCCTCAGAGCACTTGCGGAAGATGCGGGGAAGCTTGAAATCAAACCCAGAATAATCTCTTGCGACAATCCAGAGCCTAGACTTCAAGCGGATTCTCTCACGCCCCAATGTACCAAAAATCTCACCACGTAGAGCCCCAGCTATGAAACGGCCAGCTTGCTCAGCAATGCGCTCACGTTGGGCCCAGGTCAGGCCGCACTCATCAGCTTCAGCCAATGGTTCAAGGTTGCTGGCACGGTCAGCGCAACTTGGTTCTTGGTTTGCTTCCACCCCCGGAGAAACAAGTGAAAAACTGGAAATTGAAGCCCTTGGAGATTCACCCCGTCCTGACTGCTGAGAGATCTGCTGCCTCAGCAAGACCACTTCCTCTCGCACTGCACTCAATTCAGCTCGCAAGACTCGGACCTCGGACTGGAGAAGGTCGAGCTGAGCTTGCATCAAAGCAATTTATGCAGAGGTTTTGCGCTGCGCGTCCTATCAGCGCAGCTCCAGGAGTTGGCCCAAGCGTTCACAGCCCACCGCAGTGAAATGACCAGCTCTAAAAAGGCTAACACGCAAATCCCCACCAAGATCCCCAGTGCAAAGGCAAACCAATCAAAACGATATTGAAGTTGTGCCCGAATAGCAGTGCAATATGAGAATGGGTCTGAGCTATGATCCAGCCAGTTTAAGGGTTTTCAAGGCAATGGCTAAGGAGCTACCACCTGCAAGGCTACCACCTGCAAGGCCAGCTGAAATGGGGGGCATTCGAGCCTGAATTTTCTGCAGTCACATTGGCATCAGAAACATCGTTCCCATATTCATGAGATACCCCTAAGAGTCCATGACTAATTGGGATTTTCCGGACAATAGATACAGCTGGTCGAAAAACCATCGCTGTGGCAAGGTGGCACCCGTCAACGACCCACGACACACAATAACGAATCATAACGGGGCTCTATTGTCTTTAAGGCACCTTTCCAGGGAAATTTGTAAAGCACTTCTTGAATGTGCTTGTATCACACGCCGCAAATAATTGTTAAAAGGGTTGAAAACAGTTGCAACCGTTTGCAAATATACTAACGGACACTCAGTTAGAACCTCATTTTTTCCAAAATTTTCACTCCTCACAGTTAGAACCTCAAAAAACCTCCACAGTTGGAACCTTGTTGATGCCAAAGGTTCTAACTGTGGGAGTCACAGCAACCAACTATGAGAGCCGCGCCATTTTCCTGCACACATCAAATCTATTGTCATTTCAACTTTACATGTAAGTATATATGTATACAAAGAGGTTTTAAGTCTTAGGGTGTGAGCACTCGCACGGGCACAGACATATGTGAGTTCGCACAACATGGGTTCATATACAAAAGTATCTCTGATATGATACATGTATACTTGTAAGTACATGCATGTATACAAAGAGGTTCTAAGTGTGAGCACTCGCAAGGGCACAGACATATGTGAGTTCGCACAACACGGAGTCATATACAAGAGTATCTGTAATATGAAATCCGCCCGCACCGAAGGTGCTGGGGCGTGATCGTCCGGATGGCACTCGTAAAAGGTTACAGGTTTACCTGGGGGGGGTGGCATTTTTCGGCCAAAACCTCCTGTTTTTGATAGGTCGTGACGCTCGCCTTCAAAAAACACTGTAAAAAACAGTACGGAAGACACCTGTTCGTGAACGCGCCCGTCCAAAATCGGCAAGCGAAAAGTGAAAAAACCGTGTTTTTCAACTTTTTGACCTCAATTTTTTGGTTTGCAACATCTTTTTTTGCGGTTCCGCAGGTGGCCTGGCCCGGAGGCGGATTTTTGAGTTTTTGGACCCGTTTTCGGACTGATTTTCGTCGTTTTGTGATAGCAGAAACACTGGTTTTTACAGTGTTTTTCTGTTTTCTGCATGCTTGACGGCTAGCTTCAAAACTTCCAAAAACCTCGTAAATTACGCTGTTTTATGTTACGGTGTGAATGAAAACATCGTAAATACCAGTGTTTTTTGACGTTGGTTAAAAAAACACTGTAAATTACAGTGTTTTTGGCCACCTGACCCTCAAAAACCATGGTATTTGCAGTGGTTTCTGCTTCTCACCGCGCAAAAACACTGTAAATAACAGCAATTTCGCCGTTTTTTCATGTTTTTCGTTATTTTTTGAACTGCGTTGGTCCGCTATACATGGCTATCAAATTCTTCGCGTTTTTTTTTCCGACAATCAGTACTTTCGGATGTTTTTGGTCTCAATGGCCGACATCATTGGCAGTTACGAGCGGTCGCGAAGGTGTGAGAACAACATCGTTCAAACCGTGGCAGCCGCACAGGGGTTCTTGTCGCGGAGCGACGGCAATAGAAGAGAACAATGGCAGTAGAAGAGAACAATGGCTGACATCATTAACAGTGTGGACCGTTCACTCGATATGTACATATATGATCTTTATATATATAGACGATGCGGTGCGGGCGGTTGCCGTCGCGAAGCGACGTGAATATGTTTAGTTGTGAGCATACGTGTGAATACGAAGAGGTTCCAAGTGCGAGCACTCGCAAGGGCACAAACATTTGTGAGTTCGCACAACATGGGTTCATATACAAAACTATCCATGATACAATATATGTATACTTATAATTGTCAATATATGTATACAAAGAGATTCTAACTGTGAGCACTCGCAATGGCACGTACAAGTGTGAGATTGCACAGCACGGGTTGATATACCAACGTATCCGTGATACGATTCTTGATATATGTATACTTGTGAGTATATGTATGGATACAAAGACGTTCTAGGTGTGAGCACTCGCAAGGCTACAAACATATGTCAGCTTGCACAACATGGGTTCATATACAAAAGTATCATCTGCGATGGAATACATTTATTCTTGTGAGTTGTGAGCACATGTATGTATGCAAAGAGGTTCTATATAAGTGCGAGCACTCGCAAGGGCACCAACAAGTGTGAGAGTGCACAGCACGGGTTGATATACCAAAGTATCCGTGATATGATGTTTGATATATGTGTACTTGTGAGTATATGCATTCATACAAAGAGGTTCTAAGTGTGAGCACTCGCAAGGGCACAGACATATGTGAGTTCGCACAACACGGAGTCATATACAAAAGTTTCTGTAATATGAAATATGAATACCTGTGAATATATATATATTTATGCTTTGTGTTGAATCAGTCGCGGTGAAGATCTTTCAACGACATGTGTGCATTCAGAACGAAAAACCCTGCAGCTGCAGCAACACTCCGTTTTTCACTGGGGTTTGGATCTGTATCACGCCAACTTCGGCGCGTCCTGGCTTTGGGCAGGCCACAAAGTCGAAAAATTGGCTAACGAAAGTCTAAATTGACAATCGGGATTCGCTGCTGCTGTCGGAAATGGTTCCGGAACCTCCGGGCTAATTGGATCATCTGGATTGTCATGCGAAGCCTGAGGATGGTTCGTACATGTTCCAAGTGAGTGCGCATCAAACGAAGGTGATGGGAAGCAGCAGGGAGATCCATTTCATCGGTATAATCGGACAGGTCATCGAGCTGGCAAAGTAGCTCCGTTGATCGTGAGTATTCACGATGAGTAGCAAAAATCGGCTGAAACCAGGCTTGCAGGTCAAGAGCTGGGTTCTGAAGAGCCATCGGGTGGGTGTGGTTTTGGGACGAAAAACTTTCTGAAATAATGTTAAGTTGGAAAATTGATATGGTTTATGTTCATTGCAACATGTCTGATGTTCGTGATTGGACATGTTGACTTGACTTTGATGAACATGACATTTTCCAACAATGCAGCACTTGCTGCTAGTCACACTTGTGACTATAAGCCAGAAATAAACGGTAGAAAACAATCTGAATGCATGAACATTGAAAAGATCCGATGCATGGACATGGACATGTACATGTAACAATTCACCGCACACTCATCAATATTCGTTTTTCCTGATTCCCCAGTCTCATAAAGATCTATCATGCTTCACATGAGAGAACCCTTATGCTTTGTGTTGAATCAGTCGCGGTGAAGATCTTTCAACGACATGTGTGCATTCAGAACGAAAAACCCTGCAGCTGCAGCAACACTCCGTTTTTCAGTGGGGTTTGGATCTGTATCACGCCAACTTCGGCGCGTCCTCACCCTATGATTGGGCCGCGTGATTCCAAACTCTGCCAGTATCTATTCGGGTTCTATGCACCTGAGAATTGGGCCACCTGGCTCCTGGACAGCATATCAGCCGGATTTGACTGACTTGGAACGCGTTCCAACCACACCTGACAGGAGTGCTTTTCCTCAAGAACAAAGATGCATCTGAGTAACTTGTTGCAGGGGTCGTTCAAAGACCAACTTTTTAAGAAGCTACCTCGGACAGACTCGCTATCCGTGAAGGCTACTACTTTGTGTCCAGAGTATGAAGGGAACCAAAGGTCAACAGCGACCAACAATGCCATCATCTCAAGCTCTTGGATCATGGTCTGTTGATCGGACCCCATTGCAGCAAGAAGGAAAGACTTGGTAATTTGTTCGCTGAAGAAATCGAGCACTGTGCCGCTACTAGAATATATGACACCCCCTATCCCCGAGTAACCGTCTAAGTCAAAAGAAGCATCAACATACACATGCACGTAATCTGACATGGACCCAGGGATTTTCCTAGGGGAGTTCTGGAGAAGTTGGTCACGAAGGCATGACAGTGCGGAAGCGGTCTCTTCACCCAACGTCTGCCTCCCGCTGGCTATGTGCCTCGACAGGATGCGAAGGCTATTTCTTGCTGTCCTGCCGAACAGTTGCCCATTAGCGAATTGCAATCGCCCTCTCAACTTCTCTCCGTCCGTTCTGTTTAGGCGTTGTGCTCGAAGTACGTTATTCAGCTGTTCACACAGCTCTCGCACACGATCTTCCGTGTTGCTTACTACAGCCAGGCCTGCACCTGCCATCTTCAAGTCAAATTCAACACCAAGCACTTTGCACACGGTGTGATAGTCAATGAGCTTGTCAGTTGAAAGTTTCCAGCCAAGAAGACAAAACATTGACGAGATGACAAAATCACTATGTTTTGCTGATGCCACATCGGTTACTGAGAAAAAGTCATCAAAATACGACGTCCACAAGAGCTTCAGGAGCTTTGTTCCGACCTTCCAAATCCCATGTGCTACTCTGAGAAAGGCGGTGACGGAGGCAACTGATCCAAAGGGAAGCACTTTTTGTTGGAAAATCTCAGCACGGTTTGTGTTCGGGCAGAACACGGCCAGATATGCATCTCTTTCGAAAGCTTGATCGCTGAGGGGAATCTGTTTATAAGCATCGGCTAAGTCCCACGTCTTGGCTGACAGTTGAAGGTCGCACTGATAGCTTTCAGACTTCCTAAGTAAACAAGCCAACAGAGAGGCTATGTGGTCTATGGTGTGAACCGTGGCGGTTTCAGTTTGGGATACACTGCTGTTAACAAAGGAGGCTTTATAGTCGTCTATTGGCCTTGTTTTACTTTTCTGCTTGACGCCGAAGCGTCTGGTTAGAGTGGAACCTGAGGGTAATGTCTCAGGGTCTATGGGTCCAACCAAGAAACCTTTATTGACTTCCTTCAGGGTCGCTGAGTAAAGTTGCTCATCGAGTTCCGGGTCTCCAGAGCTTTTCACAGTCTGGATCATGCCTTCTCGGCTGAGATCGGCGATTCTCCGGAGGTCATTGCATGAGATCACGGCAGGTCTGACTTTCCTCGCGAAGACTCTGGACTCAGGAAGTCCCCCAGTCAAGTCAAACCCATGAGCCAGTTGTTCAACCAGGTCACTATCCCCATGCAAGGCATCTTTGAGAAGGTGTTGGAACAAGCACAGGCTCTTGTTCTTCAAGACTTCCTTTCGCCTTTCAGACATCGATGTCTTCAGAGAAATTTCCTCGTTGGAGAGGGAAAGTTTCAGCTGCAACCACCTTCTGATCTCTTCGGTTCGCGCCTGGGCGATCGCGGCAACCGAATTTTTCATATAATGACTGACGACTTCCTCCATTTCATCCGGGAAAAAGGAGTGCATTCTGGTGGGGTGACCAATCTCCAACGCTTTCTGCACAAACTCTTCTGGACTGTGATGTATCCCTATGGTGACTGTCTGATGTTGGTCTTTGGGTGATCCAACGCTTCTGCTTGATGTTTCTTCGGGTTTTTCACTCGCGACTGTCCCCCGGGAAAGAGTGCTAAGCCGACGTGAGTTTGGCGGCAGCGGAGCATCATGTGGGTGTGACATGATCTGGCAAAACTCAGAGACCATAGGCGGTAACCCGCGGCGGGGTTGTATGTCAGTTGTTGCCCGCATGGTATAGAAGCCTCTTGGAGGGCAAAGACTGGGGGTGAGCAGCAGTACCCGTCCTGTTCCAGTTGAAGTGCGAGCTTGGCGGCTATGGCTCTGCATAATTGCCAAGGGTATGTTGTCTCCTCTGAGGTGCGCCAATGGCCGGCAGGGTCTTGTCCCCATGGTTCATGTTGATGCTGGTTATCGCAAAATGACTCAAGCTGTTGAAAGGATGGCACGTTGTGAAGGAATTTGGTCAATTTCCGTCGTGCGCTCCCGTACCTGCAGTGATGGAAGAATACTTCTTGAAGGGAAAATTTTCGGCAAAACTTGAGGAAAGGCTTGGTGCGCCACATAAAAGATCTGCCTGGATTCTCAATCGAAAAGTATTTTTGTTTTTGCAGGCAAAACTCGGCAAGGTCACAAGTGACTTGATATAGTTCATTTGCAGAGTGTACTCTGGCGGCGAGGGTTCCACGGAGGCCGGGCAGTCCGTCTGGAAACTTCTCCGTGCGAAGGATTGGTGGGTTCCATCGGCCCTTTCTTTGGATGAGGCGCGCTCTTGAGCTAGTGCCGCATGGTGGTGCAAAATGCACGTAAACGCAAAAAGGTGAAGCAATAAGATCCTGTACAAGCCTCACGTGATCCTCTTTCAAGAGATCGTATTTAATTATAGGGCTTCGAAGGTGTTCTGGTAATTTGACATCAACGCCAAAACTGTCTCGAAGGCCTAAGGACCGAAGGGCAGCTGTTAGCTTGCCTGATCCAGCGAAAATTTCTATGCAAAAACTTTCTTGAAGTGACTGATTCTGAGAAGGAGTTGGTGCATTGCTTCGAATGCTGTTTCCGGGCAAAACCGAATCAGCCACCGGTGTTTGTCATCGATGGTTCTGCAAGCTGTGATCTTGCTCACAGCCGGGCTCAGCACATATATGGATTCCTCTGGAGCATTTGGATCCTGCTTTCGCTTCTTGGCAGCCTTGGGATAAATTGAATGCCCAACATATTCTCTCGCCAGCCTTTGTTTGAAGGCATTTGCCTATTAATCCGCGAGGGATGTTCGGCCCTCTACCTCTCTTGTTTTTACCACCTTTTCCTTTGCCCTTGCCTTTCTGCGATGATGGAGCTGATGGTTTCGGTGGTGTGCGCGATCGAGTGCGCTTTGGAGCAGGTGTTGCCTTGGGCTGTGCCGGCTTCTCTGCGGATTTCAAGGGCAGCGGGAGCAAATGGAAGCTAACAGTGGGTTGTGACAGCACCTGTCGGATCTCGGTCTCAAGCGGAAGAACTCCATGTTCATCTCTTTTCAGGGTGGAGATTCTTTCAGCAATGTAAAGCCATGCTGCTCTGTCAGCACGAAGGATCTGAGTCAATGTCACCTGTGCATACCCTGGTGGAGGCGAAAGGTGCAAATGATCAAACAGCTCCGCATGATACGTATTCATGGTGTGGTAACTGCAGGCTTTCACGAGATCGAATGCAAGGGCTCGTCGCCTCATTGCGTTGGTTGTCTCAAGCTCGGTTGCCGTTGAGCAGGTCAACTCTTGGGCTTTGTCTTTGATGACGAGCGAACTTTGGTCAATCGAGATCTCCTTGCCTGTCTTTTTGAGCGCCAGTTCATTGCGCCTCGTTGCAAACTTCTCTGGAGATAAATAAACTAAGGAGTCTTTTTCCAGCATATTCAGTACCAAGTCGTAACTTTGGTAAGAACACTCTTCTTCTCCTTTGAACCTAAGTCCTTCGAGCCTTGTCTTCTGCTCCTTAAGTCTATTATCTCTTTCGGCTGGTGCAAGTTTCGATTTCGATTGCTCGTCCGTCTTGTGGACTTTGTTCTGAAGTTCTGCTGACAGCAAAGTCTGTGCCTCAAAGATGAGTCGCTTCATTGAGGCATATGTGCCTGGGTTCGGTGTAATGAGGCCGTTGAATAGCCTGTCGATTTGGTCATTGGTCGGTGCCTCGCCTGGTGGCCAGGCTGCGAAGGCTAGGCGTGCCAATGAATCTACTCTGTTTGTGATGAGGGCATTCACTTCG